ATGATGGAGTGGACGTGAGTGCCACCCAGAAAGTGTTTAGGAGGGGTGGTGATCCTTTCCATCAGCACAGCATGAAACCTCAGTGGTCCCTGCTCCTGTCCCTGCCCTGGGAAATCCTGGAGGTCAGAAGCCACTGTGTGTTTGGGTAGGGGTGAGGAAATACCTGCAGAGATAGACATTAGAGATCCTGGCCTAGAGGACCAAAGGCCACTCAGTTCATCGCCAGGCCCTACCCGCCCATTGTGGCTTTGTTTCCTGGAAATGGCATAAACCAGACCAGTGCCCCAAACAAGAAACAAAGGCGGCTTCCTCCCAATACCACCTCCTTCCTTGTGCTGGGGTCCTCTCCCTGGGACGTGGCAGTCAGGAAGTAGCAGGTGGGAGTGGGGGTTGTTGGTTTTTCCTGTTCACCTCTCTCTGGGCTTCAATTTCACAGTCTTTAAATGGAAGGGGCCAGAGGAGGGAGGATGGACCAGAAAGGCTTTGATGTCCCTCCCGGCTCTGACGTTCAGTGGAAATTCAGTGGAAAGAGCAGTAGTTTTTGAGTCAGAGGGCCTGAGCTCCAATCTCACCTCTCATGAAAAAAAACCTGTGTGAGCAAAGTCATTTCACCTCTTGGGGCCTCAGTTTCCTTCTCTGTAAAATGAAGGGATTAGAGTATATGTCTCTGAGGTCCCTCCCACTTTTAAATCTATGAGCCCTCTATGTTCTAAAGTCCCTTTTAGTTCTAAATCTTTCTGTTCCAAAACCCCTCCTAGCTTTGAAATTCCCTGTTCTGAGTCCCCTCCCAGCCCCGACATTCTGAGAGTCATAAACTTTAAGCTGGAAGGGACCTCAGAAGTCACTTAATCCAAATCCCTCATTTTATAAGAGGAGAAAACTGAGACCCGGAGAGATGAAGTGATCTATTTCTATAGCACTTTAAGGTTTATAAGGAACTTTACAATTATTTTGTCATTTGATCTTTGACAACAGCCTTGGGAGGTAGGGGCTGTTATTATCATACCATTTTGCAGAGAAGGAAACTGAGGCACAAAGAAGTTAGGTGACTTGGTGGGGAGAAGGGTCACATAGCTAGTAAATATCTGAGGCAGGATTCATACTTGGGTCTTCCTGACTCCAAATCCAACAGGACATCCACTGTACCACCTTGTCACCAAAGATCATGTCAGTGGCAAATCCTGGATCTGAAGTCAGGTCCTCTTGACTCCACACATGGCCATCCCTTTTAAAAATTATATCATGTTGCCCCTCACTGTGTGGTCTGGTCCTTCCAATGTTCTGTGTTCTATGTGTTAATATTCTTCCCTTAACATTTTTAATATAATTTTTTTCAGTGAACAAAAATCTATTTTATCTTACTCTCACCTCCCTCTATATTGGGGAATAGAAAAAAGAAAAAAAAGTCTCTTTATAAAAAATATGCATAGGTGAGCAAAATGAATCGCATATTGGCCAAGCTAAAAAAAAAAAAAAGTCACACCTCTCTGTCAGAGGTAGGTAGCACGCTTCATCATGAAGCAGGAATCATGGATGGTCGTAAAATTGATTGGAGTTCTCTCACAGCTGATTACCTTTACAATACCGTTGTTATTGTAGAAATTGTTCTTCTGGTTCTGCTCACTTCACCTGCATCAGTTCATACAAGTCTTCTCAGGCTCCTCCAAAACTGTCTCTTCATTTCTTGCAGTATTTTATCACATTCAGGTACCTCGTTCGGCCGTTTCTCAATCGACGGCTCCCACCTCAGTTTCTACTTTGTTGCTCCCACCAAAAGAGTTGCTTCAAATAGTTTTGTGCAGTGGAATCCTTTTTCTCTTTACTTGATCTCTTTGTAGAATAAGACTAAGATAGGACTGGTATCGAGGCTCAAAGGTATTCATGGTTTAATCATTTTTTGGGCGTAGTTCCAAATTGCTTTCCAGAATGACTGGTTCAGTTCACAGCTCTGCCAACAGTGCATTAATGCTTTCCACATCTAATAATCTAGGCTTAACGTGCTCCCCTTTCCCAGTCCCCCTGCATAGGATTCTCTTTCTCAGCTCCTACAGTGACCTCGTTCAAACTTGTAGAAGTCAGGAGTAGGGAGCTGGGGAGACTGTTCCAGGTGAAGGAATTGGTCAGCACTCGCTGTGTAGCCTGGGGAAGCTGGTGGTGTCTGTGTGTGGCGGTAAGGAGCAATTTGGGTCTTTCCTCCCAGACTCCCATTTGGAAACAGGGTGGGATTCTGCACTCTGTCTGCGGAGCTGGCAGCAGGTCAGTCCCTGTGCATCAGCTGCCTGGTTCCCGGCCAGGGAATTCCAGAGGCGAGGCAACCAATGGGGCTCATGCCCAGTCCTCCATCTCTCCAGCTAGCAGCTGGGGGCAGCCAGGGCTCTGTTCTCTCCCAAGGCACGGCAGTGACTGGTAGGCTTGCTGCTGTCCCCTCTCAGAGGAGGTGGTCTCCCCCAGAGGTGGAGGTCTAGACTAGAGCCTTTCTGGGGACGCTTGGCTCTGTCTGGAGCTGGAGGTGAGTGACCCTGCTCTGCTGGTGGCATGGAAGGCTCTTCTGTCCAGCTGCTCTAGCCTGGGGACAGATGTTGCCGATGCGGGCTGGTCACCTGCTGATACTGTGAAGGGTGGGGATAGGGAAAGGAGATTTGCAGGGTTAGATGTTAAGCATTATGCTTTATGCTAATTGGAAATAGCAGGAATGGCCCCTGGTTCCAGTTTTGAATGTGCCACTGATGGTGAACTTCTCTATGGGCTGGAGTTCAGAAGTAGAAGACCAGGATGACAAGGGGGAGGGGTCTGCAAACTCTTCTTTATAAAGTTCTATAAACATAGTTCTGTTTGCTGTCGCCCTTGGGGTGTGTGTGTGTGGGAGGAGGGGGACAAACACAGCCCTTACAGTTAGAAAGCTTCAGTTGGACTCCCCGTGCTGATGATTAGTAGCTGTGAAGCCCTGGACTTCACTTAACCTCCCAGGGCCTCAGTTTCTTCATCTGTAAAATGGGGGTAAATAATAACACTAAAGTGACCTACCTCTCAGTGTGTTAAAATTTTTTTAATTCAATTTTTTTCAGCGAACAAAAATATACTTTCTCTCTCTCTCTACCACTTCATTTCCCTCTCACCACTGGCAAAAAAAGGGAAAGACAAAACCCTTGTAATAAATATGAATAGTCAAGCAAAAACAACAACAAATACCTGCATTGACCATATCCAAAAAAATGTATGTCTCATTCTGTGCCCTGAGTCCACCGGCTCCCCATTAGGAGATGGGTCAAGCTACCTACCACTTAAAGTGCTGGGAGCAAAGTGCTGAAAGTTCTATATAAATGTGAGTTATTATAATTACTGTTATTATTATTACCTGAATGGCTGCTACATGGAAGAGGGCTTAGATTTGGTCTACTTGGTTCCAGAGGAGCAGTGTGGGGAAAAATTGCAGGGAGGCAGATCTGTCAACGTGAAAAAAAAAAAGACATCTTAATAATCCGAGCTGTCCAGTATAGACTGACTCATGTGGCAATACTGTCACTGGGAGTGTTCAAATAGAGGCTGAACAACATCAGTGCGAGGGAAGGACTTATTACGTTGGTGATCTGTGATTTTTGGAATTGATGATGCCACAAGGGAGTGATCTTCCTGTCACTGGAGGTGTGCAGGCAGCACGGAGACAGTCCCTTGCCAGGGATGGTGTCCTAGAGATGCTTGCATTGGATGGAAAGTTGGATCAACTGACCAATGCCAAGATTCTCTCTGGGTCTCGGTTTCCACAGTTATTCAATGGGCATACTTGTCTCTGTTCTGTTTATACAAAGGTATATTGGGAAGAGAGATATGAGAGTACACTTGAAGGACTGGATTGGAAACAGGAAGATGGTAGGGTGGGGATTTAAGCACCATGTTGTAATTGTTGTTTGCTTTTGTCTGATTCTTCGTAAGCCCATTTCAGGTTTTCTTGGCAAAAATACTGGAGTGGTTTGCCATTTCCTTCTCTAGCTCATTCTGCAGATGAGGAAACTGAGGATGAATTGACTTGCCCAGGGTCACACAGCTAGTGTCTGAAGCCAGATTTGAACTCAGGAAGAGGAGCCTTCTTGACTCCAAGCCCAGCTCTCTATGCACTATGGTGCCTCCTAACTTCTCCAGCAGCTAGAGTCTAGAGCAGGGTGACCAGGATACTTCCAGGATCAGGGTTCCAATTCCACCTTTGATACCTACCCTCTGCACTGACCACCGCCAAGTCACTTACATTCTCAGAGTCTCAGTTTCCTCATCCATAAAATGGGGATAAGTGATGGCACAGGCCTGTTGTGAGGATCAAAGGTGATGATGTCTGCAAAGCAGGGGCAAAACCTTAAAGTCTCTAACAAAGCCAATCATTGTCATTAAAGGAGAAACTAGATCTGGTGTTAAACTATTATGATTGTATTTGTCTCTTTGAAAAATTCGCGTTTAATCCCTCCCGGGGCACAGTGATATTTCACTTTTTGCATCTATAGCCAGTATGTAAGGGATTAGTGATAATAAAAAAAAGCAGTTAAGTCATCAGGAGGAAATGAAGGGCTGCTACCAGTGAGGGATGCAACTGGGGGTGCTTAGCTGTCCTAGAGCCAGGAAGTCCAGCAGAACCAAAGAATCATCTGACCCCGCTCCTTTTCCAGGTGAGTAAATTGAGGTTAAATGACTTGTCCAGAGTCACACAGCTAGTGAGTACCTGAGGGAGGATTTGAACTCAGGTCATCCTGAATCCAAGCCCAGAACTATAGCCGCCACATGTCTATTGGTCTAGGAAGGCTGAGATCAAGTGTTTCAAGTCAAGGTGTGGTTAGAGAGGATGAAGAGGGTAGATGAGGCAGGGTTAGAGTTTGTGAGCTGAGGGGAATTCTCCTTCTCTTGTTGTAGTTTTTCAAGGGTCCCCAAAATCTAAGGCGGGGGGAACTGTGGGTAGTGGGAGTGACAAAGACTTCTGTGGTGGCCTGAAGACCTGAGGTTTATACTCTTCCATCCAGAGATCGAGTGACAAGATCACCCACTTTGGGTCCGGCAATCTGGGCTGCTGTCTTGGCTCTTAATAATTGCCACTGTGACCTTGGGTAAGTGATTTCCTCCTTGTTCCTTTCAGTTTTCTTGTCTCTAACATGAAGGGATTGAAGTAGGATTTCTCTTAAGGTCCTTTCTAGCTGAGACATTCTGTGACTCAGATCTGAGGAAAGCAGAAAAGGACTGGCGTGTTTGTGTTGGCTGACGGGGTTCTTGGGTCAGTCTTGCCTTCAGGTCTTTTTTGGCTCAAGGATGCTGCCCCTTCCTGCTGTCAGCTTCCTGGCTGGGTGTGCCCCGTCTGACCCCTGCCCAGGTTATGGGGGCCCTACCTCCCTTAAGACAAGGCAATTTAACACACTCTTCTAAAGTGCATGGGCAAAGGTCGTTCTACCCAGCCTGGCCAAGGAGATGGGTGGGGGGCAAGCTTTATCTAGCAGTGGGGCTAAGTCCAGCCCTGCCTAAATTCCTGACTTTCTGCCCTATCATTCTGGGATAGCCAGTCTCTCTCTCTCTCTCTCTCTCTCTCTCTCTTTCTCTCTCCTCTCTCTCTCTCTCTGTCCCTGCCTCCCCTCTCTCTTTCCTCTCTCTCTCCCCTCTCTCTTTTTTTTCTTTTTCTGTCAGTCTCTGTATCACCTTCTCTCTTCCCTCTCTTTGTTTCTCTGTCTCTATGTCTCTTTCTCTATCTCCCTTCTTTCCCTATCTCTTCTCTGCTTTCTTCTTTTTTTCTGTCTCTGTGTGTCTCTCTCCCATCTCTGTCTCTTTCTCTGTGTCTATATCTCTCTCTTTCCCTCCTGCCCCCTCTGTTTTTTCTTTTATTTTTCTGTCTCACTGTATCTTTTTCTCCCCCTTCTCTGTCTTTGTGTCTCTTTCTCTGTGTCTCTGTCTCCCTCCCTTTTGCCTCTCTTCTCTGGTTTTTCTTTTTCTCTGTCTGTCTCTGTCTCATTCTATCGCTGTCTCTCCCTCTCTCCTGCCCCCCTCTGTGTTTTTCTTTGTCTTTCCTCTCCTCTTCTCTGTCTTCCATCTCCCTTTCATCTTTCTCTCTCTCGCTCCCTCCATTTCTTTCCTTTAGGTACTGATCAGCCAGCCTAGTGGCCCCTGGGCCCCTCCAAAGTCGCACCCCTGGCACACCTTAGTGCCTAGGAAGTTCAGACTTTCCTCCCTCTCACCACTCCAAGCTGACTTGAATTTTGCTTGTGAAGCCGGGGTTCCGAGAACTCAGGCGAGCTGTCTCTAGACGTGTGGGTTGTAGAAAGTGACAAGGAGGCAGAGGATAGACAGCAAGCTGTCTTTGCCAGGATCGAGTCATCAGACCGAATAAGGCCTTTATGATGTGATCCCAATGCTCAGGTACCCGCAGGGCACGAGGCTGGTCCAAAGTCAGCGCCCTGCCTCTGCAGTCTGGTTCTGATCCCATTTGTCCCCCTGCCTGCCCCTTCCCTCTCTTCCCTGAGGCTGAGCTGTCTGCTACTCCAACCTTCCTCTTCCCATGATCTCCTTGGCATTCAGCTCACACGCCCACAGAGCGACTGAAGGCAGAGCCTCTAGGAGCCAGGAGCCAGGAGCCAGGGCCCATGCACTAAGGGCGGTAGTGGCTTAATTAGCTAATGAGAGCCTTCTCTGGTATTTGCTGAGGAGGAAGCGACCGCTTCCGCTGCTGGCTGGCAGATGACACCAACTGAGCAAAGAGCCTTTGAAAGGCTGGGATGGAACTGAGGCTGGCCCCAGACCAAAAGTGTGAATCGTCCAAAATGAGGCCCAGGGGCTTCTTAGCCTTCCCTCTCCCTCCGCCTCTTTATCTTCATTCGGGCTCCTTCTGACCAGGGCCAAGAGCCTCCCCCTGCCAAGTCCTGGCCAACATTGTAGGATCCTATAATATCGGAGCAGGAAGGGACCTTGGAGCGCCATCTTGCTCTCTGGATCGTTCTTGACTGTGACTAAGTGATCATATCAGCGCCCACGACTCCAATCCTCGTCTCTCGGCAGATGCCTCCCAGATCTATAGATACAGTTCTGGTCTTACTCCAGAGCTCCCATCCAACATCAGCAACTGCCTAGTGGGTGTCCAAAATTAGATGTTCCTCAGTCATCGGCAGCTCAACACATCCAGAAGAAAACTCATTGTGTTTCCCTCCAAACCCAGCCTTCTTCCCAACTTCCCTGTTTCTGTTGAGGGCACCACCATCCAACCAGTCACCCAGGTTCACAAACTTGGAGTCATCCTAGGTAGCCCAGCAGATAGGGTGCTGGCCCTGGAGCCAGGAAGACCTGGATTCCAATGCAGCCTCAGACATCTAGTAGTTGCATAACCCTGTGTAAGTCACTTCATCTCTGTTTGCCTCAGTTTCCTTATCTGTAAAATGGGGACAATAATAACATCTACCTCTTGGGGTTGTTGTGATGATAAAATGAGGTAATATTTATAAAGTGCCTCATAAACATGATATATAAAAGTTAGTTATTATTATGGCTATACATGATACATATGCTGTATAAAGGTTAGTTGTTACAGTTTATTATGTTGTATTAGATATGATTATAACATGATATATAGAATTATAATTAGAATATTATATATTATATACCAGGCAGTTTTCTAAGTGCTTTTCAAATATGATGCATGAGTGTTGTTTTCCCTGACAGAATGTTAGTTCCTGAGGGTAGGGGCTATTTCACTATGTCTTCATATGCTCTATGCCTAAAGAAATGCTTGTTGATTGATTGATAATGAGGAATCCAGCTCTTTTCATAGATAGGGAAACTGAGACCAAGAGAGGGGAAATGATTTGTTCAAGGTCCCACAATGAGCTGATAGGAAGTTCAGTGGAAAATTCAGGAAGGCTTTGGAGTCTCTCTTCCTGGGGATCTGAAAGAAAAGACTAGCTCTATAAATAGGCATTGTTTCCTCTTTGGCCTCAGGCAGAGGGGAGATTGATTTCTCTATATCCGTTTCAACTCAAGGACGAGAACTTTTTGGAATCTCAGAGGTTTCCAGTACCTGTTCCTCGGGAAGACAAGGGCCATCAAACTATGGTGTGGATTGCCAAGAGAGGCTGGAGGATTATTTTCCTTGGGTCTCCTCCAAAAGGGCCAGGAAGTCACTTCTCTGGAATGCATAAGTGCAGCCCTGACCAGAAGGGAGAGAAGGATGAGTCCAATGAAGGCAATGGGGTGGCCAAGTTTCTCCTAACAAGATGGTAGAATAGGAAGAGCCATCAACTTGGGCTCAGAAGACCTGAGTTTTTATCATGGTTCTTATCAGTCGTGTGACCTTGGGCAAGACAGTTAACCTCTGTAAAATGGGAATAATAATTTCTACCTTGGATCAAAGGATATGCTGTATATATAAATTAAAATACCATACTATTAGACTAGATAATTAACTGTACGCTATATAATCATGCTGTCCAGCCTAGTGGACAGCATGCTGGACCTGGGTTCCAATCTCAAGTGAATCCTTGACCCCATCACCATTTTATCTTCCCCTTCCCCCCTTTTCCGCTTCTTGCCCCATGAGAATGTAAACTCTGTGAGGGCAGGCACTTTCTCAGTTCCTTATAACAGCAAAAACAATAATTAGTTATTTATATATCATTTAGAGGTTTGCAAAGCACTTTACATATATCAATAATAATGATAACTTCATCTCAGTTTCCTCATTTGTAAAATGGGGCTGCCAATAGCATCTATTTCCTGGGGTTGTTGTGAGGATAAAATGAGATAATATTTATAAAATGCTTTGTAAACCTTAACATGATATAAAAGGCTAGTTACTATTCTAGCTAACATTATTTATCTAAGTTATCTCTATTGTCTCACCCTCCTACAAATTAATTCCGAGACTCTGAGTCAAGTCATTTAACATTTTTCAGCCCCAGTTTCCTGACCTGCAAAATGAAGGAGTTGAACTCAATGCCGTCTAAATCCATGATCCTATGTAGTATCAACTGTACTGTACACTGATCCGTTGTTGTTGTTCGTCCTTCATTCTCCAAGAGGACCAATGATATCATGGGAGTGATGTCTTAAACTTGTGTGTAAATTGGGTTTAAGTGAGGCCAATGACTTTGACGCTCTCCAGTGAGAAGGAAGGAAGCAACATGGCACAGTTATCAGAGAGCTGAGCTTAGAAGTCAGGAAGACCTGAGTTCAAATTTTGCCTTATTTAGCTGTGTCATCCTGAGCAAGTCATCTAAACTCTCTGTGCCTTAGACACCTCCCTAGGAAGTGTCTGCTCAGGCCCTTATCTCCTCTCACCAGGATTGTTGTAATGGCGTCCCAGTTGTCTTCATTGCCTCATTGAGAAGCAGCGTCTTGCGGGGCAAAAGCTCTGACTCTGAAGTCAGGATGATCTGGGTTCAAATCCCACCCCAGATACTTACTAATTGTTTAACCTCGGGCTCTCTGGGCCTCAGTTTCCTCATTTTACAAGCAAGGAGGTTGGATTCGATGTCCTCTGAGGTCCCTTCAGCTTTAACTCTAGGAAGCCAAGATACTCTCCAATCTATCCTCTGCATGGATGCCAAAGGATGTTGCCTCTAACTCAGGTTTGAGCAGGCCACTCCTTTGTTCCAGGGCTCCCCTATTGCCTTTAAGGTTAAAAGAAACTCTGGTGGGTGTCAAAAACCCTTTACAACCTGGCTCTAGCCAGCTTCCCAGACATATCATAGTATTACTCTCCCTGCATGTTCTTCATTCTATCCAAAACGGCTGCACCTCAGACTCTGGACAGGTTGCTCTCCGTGCCTGGCATGCACTCCCTTCTCATCGCTGTCCCTGAGTTCTCCCTGGTGTACAGGTGTTCAGGAGGATGAGCACCTCTGGTGCGAGGGCTGCCCATCCACCTTTGGTGGATACAGTCCACCTGGCACTCAGCTCTCGCCTGTGGCTCCAAGAAGCTGTAAGTAGCACGTACAGGGGCCACACCCCTGGTGAAATGGTCTTGGCAGACTGGGCTAACCCAGGTGGAGGGTAACCAGTGGGCCTCAAAACTATTGGTGAGTTAGGGGGTGTCTACCCCAAGCATGTGAAGACGTCCCCCACTGGAATGGGTGGA